TCATGCGAAGTAGGGTGACAAGGTAAAATTTCAGAAAAATACTTATCGAATGAAACGTATTAGCAGTAGAATAAAAAATGATAGTAAAAACTGTAAACCTAAGATTCATACAAGAAGGCAGATCTGTAAAGCAAAAATTAGAAAAATAGGGTTTTGAAGAAGAAGAAGTTATATAGGTTTTGAGGAGGGCGATGTCATCCTCGTCGAGGGGTCGGGGATTCTTCTCATCCTTGATATCTTCTTCGTGGTCAGTTGCCATTGATGCTTATTTTGATTGATTTCTGTGTAACGCTATAATAAGCTTGCTTTCTCTGCTATTTTTTTCTTGAGAGAGAAGCCACATCCAAGGCTTTTTTATATCAGAGAGAGAGAGAGAATGCTTCAAACCTTGAAGCCTTGTGCTTCAAGAATTTATGAGCTTTCCTGTTACTCGGAAGATAATAAATTCGATAAGAATTATATGTTGTTGTTCACTGTTCATTAAAAAATATTTAAAGTGAGGGTTATTTTTGTAATACCTACTGCATTTACCCATCTATATTTTACCTACAACTAAACATAGATTTCATAAAAGTTACCTAATTTCCTCATTAAAATTTTTTCCCACCAAACAATTTTTTTTTACATTTTCCTATCTATCTCACTTTATCTCACTTTCTTACCATTTCCCTATCAATTCTATTTTCCTAGTATTCAAAAAATTTCTCCTCAACCAAACGCCCCTTATAAGGTAGTGTGTCCCTGGCTTATGACTAACCACTCTTCCCTTCTCTTTTTATTTTTTATTTTTTATTTTTTTAGTTGGGTTAAAATCAAATCAATCAATAATTATAAAATCAAATCAAATGAAAATCTTTGATATGAATTTAATCGAAAGATAGTGAAATAATCGTAAGAGGATATAATATATATTATAAAAGGGAAAAATATTTCCGTAGTTAATGCAGAGAAGTTATCTGCATTTATTTGCAAAATGACGTCGTTTTGGTATTAAAATCTTAAAAAATTATAAATATAAAGACTATTATAATCTTAAAATAAATTAAAATTACAAAAATACTATGATTTTCGTCTCAAAACGACGCCGTATTGGCTTACTGCAGAAAAAACTAACTCATTATAAAATAGAAAATACACTATTTCTTTTTTCACAATGATATTTGCACATCATGATGTTTATACTATTTAAAAAAAAATTATAGAAAAAAATAGAGAGAATATTTGCACACCCTTTTGATTTCTTTTGCTTTGGGCTTTTTCCCTTTCAGGTCATATTGGAAAGAAAAACTTCATAATATCGGGGATAAATTCTTCACTATATCATATGCAATAAACTTGATTTTATAAATAAATATTTGTTTTTAAAAGTTATTTTGAAAGGTAAATAACTAGCAGGGGGGATAGATGCCAAAATTTGTGTCATGTTATAAAAAATGACGTAAGCCCACGTTTTTGTTTAGGCGTTATGCCTTAAGTTCAATGTTAATAAAATTTGGACCGGACGGTTGAGTTGACTGGAGAATTGGGAAATTGGTCATATAATCAATTTGAGGAGCAACGGATCACTCATGCATTAGAACCGGAGTGATCCGGTCAATTTTTGTGAAAATCGATGACCCGGCCTTATTCAAAAAAAGAAAAAGTTATTCCAATTTTTTTTTAAAATCATAATGGACATATTTGAGTATTTTTTTGCTTATTCACTTACGTAGGTTATGTACCTATAACACTAATATTATCTCAATTATGCACTATGCAAAATTTTTTGATTTCATTTATAATTAGAGATGTCGTTTACTGAACCTGAAGTCCTGTATCACGATCATTTTATTTTTGTTTGATCCCTTATTAGATAATAATATGTGATATTTTTTTTTATATTAAAATATTTGAAATTTTTATCATTTTTTTAGATATTTGAGTATGTTTATAATTTTTTAATATAAATTATAGAATTGCATATAATTACTGGATCATATGGTTCTGACAAAAAAAAAAGAGAGTAAATATCATTTTTGGTCCCTAACAAAAAACATGATACCCACTTTAGTCGTTTACAAAAAAAATTAGTCTCGAGGTCTTTGTGAAATTCAAAATAGGCTTATTTAGTTGAAATCATGGTCCTTCACATTCAAAAAAGATTCATATTAATCCCTCAAAATGACTAAAATAGGTCCACTTTAAATTTCATAAGGACCAGCCAACTAATTTTTTTTTATAAAAAATTAAAGTGAGGACTGTGTTTTTTGTTAGAAACCCAAAAACATATTTACTCAAAAAAAAAAAAATTGTACTTCAGGTTGAGGATTAAAGGTAGCATGTGGCCGTACAAATGAAGAAACTTCTTCAAAGGTGAAATGTGAAAACTTACAATTCAATGTGCTAGCCCATAATAGAAACTTATTATGAAGGCATCATTGCACGCCCCACACCGCCACACGTAAGAAGATATGTGAAGGTTCCTTAATGTCTTTGTCATATTTTAAAGGACAATATATCTATCACGTAACATGATAGCAAAAGTGATTCCTATTGACCCATAGATTATTGTGCCAACATTTCTTTTGTTTTTTATTTTTTTTCACAATGAGTCTCACCAAAGTTTGTTTGTGTAAGAAATTATTGTCCTATCATGTTACATAACATAAGTATTTCCCTATTTTAAAATAGTTTGAATTCTCTGTCTTTTTTTTTTTTTTTTAAAAGTGTAAACATTGTAGATAAATTTTGTTATGGGTTTATGGATGTGATAAGGATTAAACTCCTATCATTTTAGTTATGATGGTTCTAATATCACGTTAAACACAAATTCTAATGAAAACTTAAAATGTTAGGTAAAAGTTTTGAGTTATTACATCCTTAACTGAGACTTTGCAGTTTTGGAAAGTTGAGTTCTCTAACTCCAGCCCTGTGAAGCATATCTCACGTGGTGTTGAGCTCACCCGCCATAAATTTGAGGTTAACTGATTGAATATGTCTTCCCCATTTTCCAACTAAATCTAACAATAAGCTTTTCCATTCCCTCCCTATCTACTGGCCCACAAAAAATAAATAAATGATAATTCAGCCACATGGCCTCAGTTAAGTGGGTAGAACATCATTTTTCAACCTAATCTACTTGTGATCCATCTCCTCCTTGAATTATTATTGGTACTGCATTTCTTCATAAATCACTGTCAATCTCTAGATTGAACGAAATGCATTACCTTCAACTTCATCACCAAAAGTAAGCAGTAATTGTTGAGAGTTGCTTCTATACCTCTTCAAGTTTAAAATTTTGTTTATGCTCTTAACAAGCTGAACCTCTACTCCCATCCTCTTTTGGCATGTCCACATAATAATAGGTCACATTCCCTTATGTGTTTTGGACTGCTCTCACCAACCCTATCGCATGAGCCCTTAGAGGCCTATTCAAGGGGTCACAAGATAAGACTTTTGAACCTTTATCATAGAGGATTTATCAGTACTCCCTGCACAGTTCACCTTAGTCACATTATAACATAGTTTCAAGGATTAAAATTTAGTACTAATAGTCACATATATACTCACTTTAGAACATAAGTTAAGGTTATAACCTTTGGGAACTATTATATCTGCCACTGTCATTCTGTCTTTCTGTCTTATTGTCAAATGTCCTTAGTAGCACAAGTGTCTAGAGTCGAGATTATAGTTATGGTCTTGGCCTGTTACTCTTAATTGTTAACACATCTCCCCATTCCAACATCAAATTGAGGTCCTCTATTATGCATTTGATCAATTTGTTTTCTTCTTCTGCGACTCTCTTATTAGCAATGCAACCCATCTTTGCATTCCTTATGTTCCTTACACTCTCAAGCCAAAATGGACAGTAGTAGCACTATCCTGAAGAAGAGTCCCATCCTGTTAGGGCTAGTATTTCCCAAAACAAAAATTTATTCCTAATTTCTACTTTTCCTTGTTACACCTACCTTTTATGGTAAAAAGGAAGCTTTCCCTTTTTTTCCTTTCTCTCATTCTTTCACGTAAAAACTAAGTACAAACTATAAAGGGAAAATAACCAAAACGAAAAAGAATAAATTATAGTAACAATATTAGTGTAATTTATCATGATTCATATGGTATGTAATATTTCTTTCTTAAATTGTTTGGCAATGGATAATTTTTTTCTTACACTTATTCCCTTGCCTTTTTTTGTGTCTGCTAGAGTTTCTCGTTCAGTTTCTTTCCTTCATTATTCAGGGTTTTGCAAGATTTGTTTTAAGTTATTGCACAAATGACTTGCTTTTCTGAGTAAATTTTGTAAATGAATAACTGGGCACCATCTACAGCAGCAGCAATGCAGCATACTTAATATAGGACCTACTTTCTCCTATATGTGCTTTTAGTTACAAAACATGTCCTTTACTGTTTCATTATCTGCCAATAATATGGAAGTGAGTTTCACTGCTAAGGTTGGACCTGGAACATCCAGGAAAAATCAGCCAACTTCTGATATTTATAGCATATTATGTTTATATTCTTCAATTAACAGATTTCTTATTGGTAGAGAACTGGAGATTATGTGATTACCTCGAGTCACCTTTAAAATTGTACATTTTAAGAGAAAGACATTTGCTCTTGCTGAAGGACTATGAATGTATTTGACTTTGCATATATATGGTATATTATCTTAACTGTTGATTCAGAGGCTGTTCAGCGAGTGGTGCTATTGCAGAGGCAGAGGGTATTAGTCACATAAATGCCACTCAATGGAGAATATTCCTCCTCAGTTACTTTCAGATTTCTAAAACATTTGAGGAGATACTTGTATACTTTTGCTTTCCCCGTTACATAAAGTAGTCAAGTCATTGTTATTGCTTCAGTACCTTATCATGTTTTTGTCCTAGTTTCCAACTCAGCAATGATATAAATTGCCTTTTTTAGTTTGGAGCCCTCCCTCCACGCCCTTTTATTGCAGGATCAAATATAATTTATAACTTTAAGTGCTCAATTATGGAAGGTATAGCAAACATGACAGTAACATGGGGAATATTTTATTTTCAGGATCAATACATAAACATAGTGAAAACTGGTAGTTATATATTTAATTAGACATAGGTCATCACAATGCTGAATTTTTCTTTTTCCTCTTTTCTGGAAATTCAGCATTTTGTGATGAAGAAAACAACATTATATTGGTTGGTCACCTTTTGAACCAACATCTATCATCTAGTTATCATTAATATTCTTAAACACGCAAACTTTACCATTGTACACATTATTTCAAATATTTATCTAACTGATTCAGTGCTTGATTTGGGCCAACATACACCTAACATCCTTACTGTTAGGCCTCTCCTTTGGATCATCCATAGTGCAAAAGCATGCAATCTTCAAAACCAGAAGCATTTGTTCCTCATATCCATTACCTAAAAGCCTTGGATCAATAGCCTCCTTAGGATTTTCTGAAGTCATCACATTTCTCATCCACTTTACCAAACTCATTTCGTCTGTGTGCTGGAAAAAATCATCTGATGGAAGCTTTCCTATCACCAAGACACCAAGCATAACCCCAAAGCTGTATATGTCACACTTGTCAGTGAACTTGAGTATCTGGTGATACTCTGGTGCTATATATCCCACAGTGCCAGCAACATTTGAAGTTGTGATGTGTGTTTGAGCATCTGGCATAGCCTTTGCAAGTCCAAAATCTGCTATGCGAGCTTCCATATCATCATCAAGAAGAATGTTTGCAGGCTTGAGATCTCTATGAATGATACGAGGGCTATGGTTCATGTGAAGATATTCAAGGCCAGCTGCTACACCAAGTGCAATCTTGTGCCTTGCCAACCAATCCAACTCCATTTCACCCCTTTCAACTTTATTCAACACATCTTGTAAACTCCCATTCTTCATGAATTCATAGACAAGGTAGTGACAATCAGGCCTAGACACATGAGCCAGAAGAGGCAGAAGGTTCCGGTGTCTAATTTGACCAACTGTGTTAATCTCTGACTTAATTTGGCGCATTTTCTTATGCAAAAGCTTACTATCTTCATCAGCCAACTCAGCAGCATCCTTTGGAGGCTGAACAATCTTCTTTATGGCAATCATTTTGCCATTACTTCCTGGTAATTCAGCCTTGTAAACCTCACCACACCCTCCTCTTCCAATGACTTCCATTGCAGCAAGCCCATCTTCTTTCTCCAAGAAAGCCAAGTCCTCTCCCCTTTTAATAAAGGGACTATAAATTGCAGGTCCAGAACCCTTCCCTCCACCCTTTATCAAAGCCAAAGCCAACTTAAACAACAAAGAAAATATCAACCCAGATAAGGTCCCAGCCATTGCCCCAGCCAAAAACCCAAGAATCCACCCAGCTAGTTTTCTCTTACTTGACTTGTGCTTGTGGTGAGAAACTGCAGCTGAAGGACCAGGTCCAGGAGCTGCAGGTCCAGGAGCTGCAATTGAATGATTCTTGCGGCTTGAGGAATTGTTTGAACTCTCAGCAAAGATGTATCTTTTGGGAACACTATCTGATGCTGATTGTTCAAGCCTTTGGTTCAATGGTAGAGAACCTTCAAGGAAACGGTTCCCAGAGAAGTCAAAGTGTCTGAGATTGCGAAAAGAACGCATAGATGATGGAACTCTTCCAGTGAAGAGGTTATCAGCAACAGAGAGAGTTTCCAAGTTGGGAAAATACTTGAGGAAATTCAAGTTCCCAGAGAGCTTATTGGAAGAGACATCAAGGACGCGAAGACGAATGAGTGAGGACAATTCAGAAGGGACTTCACCAGAGAAGAGGTTGCTTCCAAGGTCCAAAATCTCAAGCTTTCTGCAGTCAACTATTTGTTGTGGGATTCGGTCAACGAGCTTGTTGTTTGAAAGAGAGAGTTCTTTAAGCTCTGTGAGGCGTCCTATGGTAGGTGACAAAACCCCATTAAGGTTTTTCGACTTCAACACAAGCCTTGTGATTCTGAGGACATAGCTTTCATTGTTGGAAAGCCTCCTCTCACAGAACACGCCCTCCGTGTTACACGGGTGAATCATGGTGGAGGGTTGACCGTTGACTCCGAGGTCCTTTTGGAGAGTTATGAGAGCTTTGAGGTCTGAAGGGTGGAGATCAAGCTTGGCATGGATGGAGAAGAAGAGATAGAAGAATGAAAAGAGAAACAAGAGATGGGTTTTTCTCCCTGCCATTGCCACAGTGTGTAGCTGCTATGTTGGTAATGGTTATTGTTTCGATCTTATGTTGTTCTTTCCTTAATTTTGTTTATTCTTATAGTGGTTAACCGTGTGGAACACTTTGTATATAGTCCCTTCCTGTGAATTTTCTTCCAACGACCAATCACCATTGTTTTTTTCTCTCTCTCTCTCTCTCTCTCTTTTATACAAATATTAAGTGTCGATTTCTTTGTTTGTATATTTTTACTTTACTTTGTATTTCTTTTTCTTTAACAATTTTCCTTTTATACGACTTAGAATTATAGCTTTTACCCAATTTCTAATTATAAATTATTTGGCTTCTGCCTTTCCAAATATATCATATATTAAATAAATTATTCTTACACCTTCACTTATAATTATAATTCTCTTGAGAATTTTATTCAACAATCATATCATATCAACGATTCTGATTATTACGGAAGACAGAAAATTTCAAAATTAAAAGTAAACTGCAATTTGATTGCATACATGGTGATTAGGGATGTAAATAGGCTATTAGGGATGTGCATGAGTCGAACCGAATCGAATTTTTTAAAAAATTGAACCGAATTGATTTAAATAGTTCGGTTCGGTTGAAAACGATTCGGTCAATTCGAAACCGGTTCGGTTCGACTCTCTTTTGAAAAGAAAAAAATTAAAAATTAAAAAATAAAGTTATAAAAATCAATTTGGTTCGATTTGAAAACGGTTCGGTTCGGAAACGGTTCGGTTCGGTTCAAAATAGTTCGGTTCTTAAATTGGTTCTAAAATTCGGTTCGGTTCATGAATTGGTTTTTAAAAATTGATTATTTTAAGGGGTGGTTCGGTTCAATTTTTTAGTTATTTTGCACACCCCTATAGGCTAGGGTAGTCTAGGCTTTGGCTTAAATAGGCTAGGCCCGTATAAAAAAACACTGGATCTGACCTAGCCTGTTAGCCTATGTATGCTCCAAATTACAAGTCAGACCTGACCTATATTTAAAAAATGAAAATCTTGACCTAGGCTTATTAGCTTATTTAAGGCTTATTAGCTTATTTAAGCCTATTAAACATTCAACAATTAAAAAAAATTAAAATAATATTACTTTATTATTCAAAATTATTAAAATAATAATTTTATTTATTTTATTTAAAATAAATAATATAATATAGGCCGGCTCGTAGGCTTATAGACCCAACATGTGCAAAAAAGCCTATGGCCTGTTTTCTAAATAGGTTTTTTTAAAAACCTGAGCCTGTTCTATTTTGATATTTGTAATAGGCCAAGCTTGACCTAATCTAGGCTAGGCCGTAAGCCCCTGTGGCCATAGGCATTTTTGCACATGTCGGGCCTATAAGCCTACAGGCCGACCTATATTATATTATTTATTTAAAATATAATAAATAAAATTATTATTTTAATAATTTTGAATAATAAAATAATATTATTTTAGTTATACTTTTAATTGTTGGATGTTTAATAAACTTAAACAGGCTAACAGACCTAGGTCAAAGCTTTTATTTTTTAAACATAAGTCAGATCAGACTTATAATTTGGGGCCTACACAGGCTAATAAGTCAGGCCATAGCAAATGTTTTTTATACAGGCTTAGCCTATTTAAGCCAAAGCCTAGCCTAACCTAATATATTCACACCCCTAGATACGGATAAATCTTTGGTACCACTATTGTATCCAAGTGAGTACAACAATTTTTTACTTTTGGAAAAAAGTTTAACACTTTTCAAATTTGTTTTTTCTGCCACATCACACTTTTTTCCAAAATTGGAAAAATGTTGTAAGTATTTATTCCCTAATACAACAGTTGAATTCGGATGGATAAGGGTTTAAGTAAATTTATTCTGTATTAGCCTCTTCACTGCAAACTGTTGGTGAAATTTAAGTAAGATCAATATTTAGTTAACTCGAGGCATAACATTATATAGTAACTTAAGGTATGAATAAATTCATATTTAAAGATTAGCTTATGAGGAGTAAGAGCATAAGCATCGTATTACACTTTTATACTAACTCACTGTAGGATATAACAGCTAATGTAATTTTTTTTCTTATTTAAAGGTTGGTCCCTTTTTGTTATTCATTAACGATATTTCGTGTTTTTCAATCTTAAAAAGTTGTATTATTTTGTACAAGACAGACCAATTCGATAAAAATAAATTTTCTTTGTATGGAGAGTGTAAAGAAAACAAATGAACACGAGACTCTTATATTATAGACCTTTTTTTCTTTGTATGCATTTTCTCTTATATTATAGACCTTTTTTTTCTAAAGAAAACAAAAATTCCACACTATGACCGAACAAGCACTATGGTTTACACTGAACACGCCATGGCCCTACAAATGAAATAATTGTCCTTGATAAGACTCTGGGCGAATTGGTCTAAATAGCAATAGTCCAATATTTTTATCTGTGTTTTATCTAATAATTTATGGGTTTCATTTTTTTTATATTATAAAAATAAATATGTATTATAGATAATATATAATTATAATAGTAAAATTATTTTTTCTTTTTTCGTCATACTAACTGATCATATTTAAAAAGAAAAGAAAAAATTTTAATATCATAATTATATACTATTCGTAATATATAATTATTATTTTTTTACACGAGAGATTTTCCTTTCAACACACAATGATTACCCATCATTTATTGTTTTTTAAGAAATCGTCCCCACTTATCATTTAAAAAAATAATAAAGTTATTGTATTTCTTTTTTTATCCTTTCAAGAGATGCTGTTGATTTTAAAATGGAAAAATAACCATGAGCACTAAAAATTACAAATTTAATATTGAAATTCTATATAGGAAACGACTTCTATTTGCTGCCGTCCTTATTGAATATACCAGATTCCTTAGTCATTTGGTTATACTGACATGGGTGTTCAATGTTCATGTTTCTGTTCTGCGTGTAATTTTCGATGCATCTAAGATAATTCAATTCGTTATAAAATTTTATGCAATACCTATTAGGCCATAATGAATGTAACTATTTTATATTCTTTGTTTTAGTTTTTTTGGGTTGTTTTCTAAGCTCTGCATATTCAACATTTATTCTTGCTAATTACATGGAAACTTCATGGAAGCCTCTCGCCAAAGATATTCAAGTCTAACGCAACTCCACCACGGGCACTGTGTGATTTTTGGGTCAAGTCAACCCATAAAGTCAATAAGTCGTTGCTAATGCTAGCTGGGTGGTGGGGTTAAGCTCTTTTTTGGACCCTTTCTTCACTCATTCACAAGTATGAGTCTTAATCATCTAACTATCTATGTTAAGGGTGGTGGTGTGTTTTCTGCCCCAATAGTCGTGTCAATTAAGTGAAGACAATAAAGCCCTAACAGTCAATTTTTTTTTTTTGGTTCACATTCACTTCCAATTACTTACAATATTAATTATTCAAAATATCTTTATTACTTATTTTTTAGATAAGATATTATGTCTATCTTTTTTACGCCTACTGTATCTACTCTTTTTCAATACTGTTAGCTCAAAATCTTAAAAAAATAATAATAATGAAGATTAGTTGAAATTATGATCTAATGATATTTAAGATTAGTAAGTATAAAAAAAGTACGCACAATATTTAGGGCCCGTTTGTATTCACTTTTTTAAAAAGTTCTTTTTATCACTTCCTTATTTTAAAAGTACTTTTTATAAAAGCTACAGCTATTTAGATTTTTAGAAAAATATTTGATTTTTGAAAAAAATATTTGGCTTTTGACTTTTGCTTTTTTGAGAAGCTAAAATTTTTAGCTTTCGAAAAAAGTAAGTTTTTGGCTTTTTTTATGACTTCTGCTTTTTTTAAAAGCAGGCATACAAACAGACTTTTTTCGATAAGTGCATTTTTTTCTTTAAAAAAACAGTTTTTGAAGAAAAAAAAAAGCTCATCCAAACGGGCTCTTAGCCCCCTTACTTTTTTAGTTACATAAGATTTTTTTTTTTTTGATAAACCACAAATGTATTTTTTTTTTTTTGTAAGCTGGGTAAAACACACCACAGCACAAATTAAATAACTGAAATACGAGGAGTTCTACAAATATAAGCTAAATCTGCATCAAATAGCAGACCAATTCCAGGGGGGAATTAAAAACTCAAAAATCATCCGAATTAACATTCATAAAAGGAAAATTTGCCAGCCAATCCGCACAACAGTTTCCTTCTCTGAAAGTATGAACCAGATGAACTCTCCAATCCTTTTGAATCCATGTCCGTAATCGAGAAATCAGATGATTCTCGCGGACTGCATCACCATCACTAGTGAGCAGAGCAATAGCTGATTTAGGGTGTGCATGACAACCTTCCCGGAATGAGTTTTTTTTTTAATTTCTGTTCCCGGGAATAAAAATGGATGAGAAACTTGTCTGGTAAAACCAGTTTATTTATCTGTTCCCCGGATGAACTGGTTTAATTTTTGTGCCGAGAAACAAAAAAAGAATAAAAAAATTTCTGCTTTTCTCATTCTCGGAAAAAAATAGAATCAATTTTCGCTCGCTCTCTCGCTTCTTCGTACCCCCTCACACATCAGCACCAAACCATCACTAGCCTTCAACATATCAGCAGATCACAACCCTCCTTCATCGCGGAAGTTCTTTCGTCTCCTTCACTCTCTCTTTCGCGTTCCCACTTGCATGTCAATGTAAGTTTGTTCTTGATTCAGTCTCTTACTTAGCCATGTTTTAATTGTGACATTTCCTGTATATACTCCTCCAGAACAATCATTCAATGTGAGTTCATTTGCTTCTCATCATTTCTCTTATTTCTCTCTGTCCTTGCTTTGCTGATACCTTTCAAGTATTCTGCATAATTGCATATGAATCTTCTCATGATTATGATTCTGATTTGTTTCATATGGGACCTGGACTAACTAATTAGTAGGGTTGGGCTTCGCTCAAAGGGGCAATTAAAGTATTGTTTTTTATCTCCTCTATATTTCAAATTCATAACTTTTTTAGCATTTGTTGTAAAAAAAATTACACAATAAAATATTATAATTTTTTAGATAATTTTTTTAAATATGAAATGTTGTCATTTTGATTAAAATCTATTGCAATTTGTTATTTTATACAAGTGATGA